ACAGCGCATAGGTCATAGATGTTGGCCTTAAATGGCCTACCACTTCCCTCAGGATAGATTTGATTAAAAGAAGAAAGGGATATGCAGCCGCGGTTCGACTGGCACCAGCGTTAAATAGATTGCAGACCCTAATTCTCCATATCTGCCCTGGTGTTACTGATCCACGTTTTTTTGTTCAGCCACGAGAGCAGAAATACTTCCATGTGAAGGAAGTTGAGTGAAGATTTCGTCCAACATTAACTTTCGAGTCACCCGAGGGCATGATCAAACTACTGGGGCAGCTAGGAAAAGGTGCCAATTTATGCCTTTCCAGTTTGTCTGATCATGTTTTGAGAACTTTAGTTTTGCTAAGCTAACTCAGATCATTTCACAGACATCAGTGCTAAAACCCTCCAGTTCTCAAGTGTCCTGGGTTTCCTCCGGTCACGTGAGTTGCATTGTTGATGTGCGGTGTGCAAGTAAACAGACAATCCAACTCTGAGATTTGGAGTGGTGAACCACATATGGCCTTAATAGGGTAGGATGTTTCACATTCGAAGTGCTCTCGGTTGTTGTCTTAGAGTACACGCCTTTCTGTGCAAGTGTCTAATTTACCGCATGCGCGCTATGAATTCAGCAACCACTTTCGTGTGGCCTTCGCTTTTGTGTTTCGCCTAAGAAAAGCAACAGCATAGAATCACAGGCACAATTTGAATATTTTTTCAAACAACTGAAAATGCTGAAGCAACTTCAAAAGATGCAGAATCTTTTTTGTATTTGTATTTGTATGACTTTTGCAAGCTTGATATACTTACATTTCAGTTAAAAATTGTACACTGGTCGTCACACCGGAGAAAATATAGAAATATAAATAAATCCAATAGTGCTGTGTAAAAAAATGTCTCCGAAGTTTGATTTATTCAAGGAAAGATTGACGTAGTTCATTTATAACTCGTTCCTTATTGGTCAAGATTCGAGCCAGATATGACACAGAGGGGGTCTTATAAGTGTTTATTCGAGAGGGTAGATACCGATAAGAGGAGCCAGTGATCGAGTCGGATCGACAAGAAAATGAGTCAAGATGCAAAGGATGGAATGGGTCGTTTAGAATCTTATTGGCAAAGGTCATACAAGATTTCGTATGACCAATAATAAGTTCTGTGATTAATGACTGCAGATATTAAAGATGTACGGCTTAGTATCTTCAATTCACGACGGATAGTTTTAAAATCTTCTTTCAATAGACCGGGAATAAGTACAGAGGAGCAATGACGTAAAATACGGAGAACGCATTGACTAACAAAGAAGAACACAACTTTTTTNGGGGTGCGAAATTATCTGGACTTCCGAAGCTAAAAGGAAAGGCGCCGGAGTTTTTCCATACAGTTCTGAATGTGTGTCCACCACCGATGATTATTATCGATAGAAGCACCCAAATATTTGGTTGAGGTCACTCTAGACAAAGGGTTGCAGAGTCCGACGGTAATGTAATGCGGGAAGAACTAAAAATGTACTCCAAGCACTTAGGTGCGTTAAGATT